TCTTTTGATGTGTGGTTTGGTCATCATAGTGGTGTCATTTGGTAGACCTGAACTTTAATCTTCACTATCACAACAGTTAAACTTTTTTGGGGTCGGCCTTAAAGAAAAATTGCCAATATGACTACTTGGCAGTTAATTTATTGTTTTTTTAAATAAATATATTAATAAATAAGTATATGTACCAGCTTTTCAAATACTGGATGAAAATTTAAAATGTACACACTCAGAATCCCATGACCCCAACTGTAATCAACTAGGTAATCAATATGATTTAAAATTTCAAATGAATAATTGTAAAGATACTGAATTCATATTTATTCTGCATATTACCTTGGCTTTGCATTAGGTGGCAAATGGCACACTACTGTACAGTACATGTTTTAAATATTCTTTGGTGAAACGGCTTCCAAAACATGACCCGAGTGTTTGCAACATTATTAGGAGGGAAGCCTTGGATACATCAAAAGGGTTAGTATGTTTGAAGTTCCTCAGCTGATCGGTCTTACTTCACGCTCATTGGCAACAGCAACAGTTAGAAGTCTTTTCAGGTTGATCTTTGACAACTTTTTCTATATTTTGAGACTTCTCGGCTCGTCTGGGAAGCTGCTGCAACAACCACTATGTTAGTCATCACAATCTAGCAAATTTAATGTCAAATACACTGATTAGGAATGGTTCATTATGAGTTCTGATCTTCCTACAGCTACATTAGTGTCCAGGACTCTAATTTAACTTGACTGCATCTTCTATCCCAGACAGATGATCAGATGTAGTGTCGAGATAAATTTTTCACCAAGGGCATCACAAGTCTTTTGTGCAGCCCGCCCCTCTCAAAACTGTCGTCATTTGCTGCATATGAAGGTACTGATGGGTCTCGCCAGCAGCTTCAGGCAGACTAAGATACACATGCATCACTACGCATACTGCTACAAGCACTCATCACACATTTCTAGGTATGTTCTAGAGCAGTGGTTCTCAGAGTGCCAGGACACAAACCTTCCATTGTGATCCCAGGTTTCCTCAAAGTATATTCTTTTGTATTTTGGAGTTCATTCCCTCACTGATATTCCTTCCCTGACATATATCCATCCAATTAGATTTTAAATACAGGTACTGTACCTCACTCAGAAGTCAAGTGCCTTCCCCTTTTGAGAACCACTGTTCTAGACGGTAAATCCTTAATATTTAACACTGGTAAAATTGAGATGATATTTTTGCATGTCTTTTTGTTGCCCCAAAGCCTCTTCCAACATGGAACAGAGGACCAAATCTTGTACAAGAGCATCTTGCAACACACCACACCTAGGTCTGCCCAGCCTAACTGCAGGAGAATAATGCCTTAGGGCAGCATACACTACAGGCAGAGCAGTGTGTAGATGAAGCTAAAAGCAATACCACCTATCAAAACACAACGCACATCACAGTACGGCAAGCCGTCTAATCCACCTTCTGCAACGGAAATAAGCAGAAACATTTAGTCTTGTTTATAACTGCCATCTGCTTTGTTGAAGTATATTTTAAAAATACTTATTTATAAGTGCTGGAATAGGAAATATTTTAAATTTGGTTAACAGTAAAATTATACAAAGCAGAAGAGTATTTTAAGTTAATAATGAATATATAGAAAGTGAAGCATAATTTGGTTGAAAGTGATGAGAGAGGCAGCATGCTATACTGTACCTACATAATGCAATTACTGAAAATTAAGTGGCAAATAGAATTGCTTCTATAGCTTTTATAAAGTGTATACATAGTTTCATATCAATTTTGAGCAAGAGGAGAACAAGTTTCATTCCCATATATGTGCAAGTGAACTGAAGATCCATGCTCATTGAAAGTTATGTGGAGTGTTTAAAGAAAAGTTAATCTAAAAGGGCCTAGATCCTTAACAGAAAAGCTACACAAGAAAATTGAAATGTTCACAGCAGTAATGTATACTCAATAATGATCATTTACTAGTATAAACGACAAACACAAACTAGCATACAATAATGATTTTAAAATTCTCTTCAAAGTAAATTACGAGAATTGTTTTGGTGTATAGGGATGCATGTTATGCTTGCTACCATTAGCTCGTCATTCATGACACTTATCACATGATTACAGTACTTTGGTCATACACATTAAATCTATCAAAATCCCTCGCTCCTTTCTACCAGCCAAGTACTTCCACCAGATTTTATCTAATAATAATGGGCATAATGTCTCAAAACCACACCACCAAGAGGGTTATTGGTTATTGCTAAATCATAATGCATGACTAAATTTTAACTTTCAGTCTCTAGTAGAAAGTGGATTATTATTTTAACCTTCAAAAGTGCAGTCATTGTTTGTTGATCTTCTGAACCACTGCAGTTATTGTAATATGATAATTTTCATTATTATTGCCAAGTCTTTATAAAAAATTACGATATGGTTATAAAAGCTCTATACAGATGCACCATTATTGACCAAGAGCTATCAGATGATCGTCATTTCTTCTGGTGGAAATGTGGATGCCCTGTGGAAGCATATCTGGGTCATGGCCTACACGATCATGATCTCACGCCTGCATCAAAGTTCAGTTAACTCTAGTGGTTTTCCTTTTCTTTGTCCTCTACCAACAGCCTCCCCCCCCCTCCATCCCTGTTGTGCCAATGCAGATTGTCACCCTTGGCCTGACTTGTCATGATCTAATACGCTGGAATATATCTTGCCTTAAGGAGCTTTGGAACCAGGATATATCTTCCCTTAAGGAGCTTTGGAACCAGGATATCTTGTCTTAAGGAGCATGCGAGTGTCATGCTCAGAATGAAGATTTTCGTATTCATTCAAAGCCAAATTTTGTTATTAATTTTATCATGTAGCTAAATATAACTGTTGTACTGTATATGCATATATTTCTTCGCCCTATGCTTATATTATTAAACAAGTGGTATATTTGTTTTTAATTAGCATTTTAGAACTAACCATGATGCTTTGCATGCCATGGGCATTATAATTAATGCTCGTTATAAGTTAGCATCTTTACAATTTGTATACAGTTTAGAATTAATGTTAATTAATATTTTGATTGTAAAGAACTGTATGTTAGTACTGTACTTCAGAAGTAAAGAACCTTTAAGTTCAAATATTAACGTTAACCTCTTATTACTATTGTAATTTGACATTCTTCACATAACCTTATTTCCATTCTCAAACACTGAATAATGGTGAGTTTTCAAAGGGCTATAAAACTTGATAAATGTACACATTAGCCACGAAGCATTATGTGCACTCTCTATAAAAAGATAGCCACTTCATTTAAAACACTTACATATTTATGCAATTTTATTATAGTTGCGTGTGTACTGTTATCACTTTATAAAAAAGAAATACTTAAAATGAGCACTATTAATATAAAATAATGCACATACAGCATGTTCTCTTCACGACAACCTAAGAACACAATATATTCACAACGTATTTGCCACTTTTGTGTATACTGTACTGTACTTTTAGCCAGACTGGTTCCTCTAATATCACTTCTGACAATGCTTAATCCTCGGCCACAAATGAAGATGGGCTAAGCTGGAAACCATAAGCCATCCTTTCTCCAGATAGAACAAAAGTTTTTATCCAGAGAACCATCCTATACTGTGGTAGACAAGTATCCTGCCACCTGTGAAAAGACTGAACCAAAGATGTACCCCACTGGCTCAGGTAGACTCAGCATGCCCTTCTTGAGGTTATCTTGAGGTTATATTGAGATTATCTTGAGATGATTTTGGGGCTTAGGGTCCCCGTGGTCTGAGTCTCTACCACGCCTCTTTTTTACACATCCCCAGGAAGCAGCCTGTAGCAACTAACTCCCAGGTACCTATTTACTGATAGGTGAACAAGGGGATCAGGGTGAAAGAAACTCTGGCCATTTGTTTCCGCCTTCGCCGGGGATCAAACCCGGGACCTTAGGACTACGAATCCCAAGTGCTGTCTACTCAGCCATCAGGCCTCCCTGCCCCTTTGTGACAAGGGCAGCACAGAACCCCTATCCTCTACACAACAACCCTCTACTTGAGGGTTTCGGTAGTACAGTCGGGTTTGCTCTCGGCTCCCAATCGAGAATTCTGGGTTTGAACCCGAGCGGGACAGAAATGGTTAGGAGGATTTCCTATAACCTAATGGTTCTGTTCACCTAGCAGCAAATAGGTACTCAGAAGTTAGTCAGCTTGTTGTAGAGTTGCATCCTGGATGAGAGGGGGGGGGGGGTAAGTAATTCAACCTTGAGGGGGACCGCGATATAAGCCTATCGTGAATAAATACACTGGCTGCCTGTCCCCGATACAATGAATTATTAATTACAACTATCATCTTGACATTTTGATGGATAATCCAAATTTTTTAAGTCTTATAACCCAATGTGGGAGGATGGGAACCAATGTGCTTCAAGGCAGGTAGAGAAAGAGCCTGACCACCTTAAAACATAAAATACTGGTAGAAGAACACCCACCCACCAAAAAAACAAATTACAGGACTGAGGTCAAGCCTCATAAGATGATGTATCAATCAAGAGAAGCTAGATCCTCATCAAACATATGGAACCCTGTAAAGTATCGGAAAATCCGAGACCTGTGATACAGGGAAAATATTTCTTCAGTCTAGCTTACAACACAGTGACAGCTTCATACGCACTCCATTCTTAAGGTGGCTCAAACACAATATACATCACATGCACCTTTGACAAACACTGTTGGTAATTGCATTTATATATTGGTTTAAATTTACATTTATTACATTTTAATTAATATTTAACCCATATGGTGGTCTCATTTGAAAGGCCCAAAAATACTATGTAGAGAAAATCAATGCATTGCTACCAAAATAAAATTGGATGCATTGAATCTTAATGTCAAATATTAAACAAGTTGTTACAGTACAGTATATTAAAAACAATTTCAATGCCCTTTCCCAAGGCAGTAATTTTTCAAATAAATATTCTTTGGATAACCAATAAAATCATTAGTTTAAAAAATTCACACACTGTATTCAACATTAAGTTAGGACTTGCCTGCTGACATTTGTCTCTGAGTAAAGACACGGCCGAGACCAAGTTGTTCTTGGGGCTCCTTCCACGTCTTGAAGTATGCTTTAAATACAGCCGGTTCCGCTTTCTCAACCACACGTTGTACGCTCCTCCATTTGGGATATCCTTTCTTCTCCATGTAGTTGGCTAAAAATTGGATGTACAGTATTTTGAAATGCTGAAGTATCTGTTACTACTCATAAATACTATATCAAGTTTCTTGTTAATTGTCCTGAAGCTTCACATGGATACAAGGTAATGTAATTAATAGAATAAACCTCAGCATTTGTACATTTGAGGGCAAGTTTATTAAAAAAAAAAAGGTTCCAAGCCTTGTATTACTGTATTATAATGCTTTATAGTATGGCCTTCAATCAGAACTGCTTTTATATTAGGATATTATCTGCAATTATAAATACTGTACATACTACAATTGCAAGATTTACCATACATTATTCCTTTTAAAAATCTCTAGACTTAGCACTGTGATGTTAACATTATGCTTTAACCTGCCTTACTTCTTGGCACTTTCTCATAATACAGTAATAACTTTCTTTACCTGCCATCTCCATGCTCTTGACTTTCTCCTTCTTGCTGGAGCCACTGCCAATCCACACGTACACCCCAGAGCCAGTGTCGAGAAGGAAGCAGTCCTAAAGAAAAGACGCATCATTACCAACCCGAGATTTTTTCTCACTTGTAAAAAAGCGGTCAAAATTAATTAAACATTGTTGTACGTCTTTAAGATTAATTACTAATTACCATAAAGGTGTGTGTAGCTGGTGGCCACTTATGATCACTCATTTTTTCTTGTTCATTATTTAAAATGCCATCAATACAATTATGTTTTTCAAAGTAATTTAATCTGGCAGCATATTGAGTTATTACCTAAAAGGTAAACTATGCATATTTCATTATTATAGTCATTATTATACCGCTCGAGAAACGCCTGAAAGGCAGCCTGGAGGCGGAACTTGACCACAGCACGGTGGCCCTGAAGCAGCTGGATGTAATTAAACAATTAGGAAAACTAAAACCAAACAAATCCCCAGGGCCGGATGAAGTGTTTGCCAGGGTGCTTAAAGAATGCAAAGAGGAGCTTTCCGAGCCACTGTCTACCATATTTAATAAATCAATAGAGTCAGGCAGAGTGCCAGTCATGGAAGGTAGCTAATGTGGTACCAATTTTTAAGAAAGGAGATAGAGCACTTGCGTCAAACTATCGGCCAATTAGCCTAACGTCTATTGTGGGAAAGTTACTTGAATCAATAATTGCATATACAATTCGTCTCCATCTTGAAAAACATAAATTAATAAATGAGTCGCAACATGGTTTTACAAATGGCCGTTCATGTTTAACAAATTTGCTAACTTTTTATTCCAGCATAGTTGAGGCAGTTGATAGTGGTAAGGATTGTGATGTTGTGTACCTTGACTTTAGCAAAGCTTTTGATACAGTGCCACATGAAAGACTAATTAAAAAAATAGAAGCTCATGGTATTGGGGGTGCTATATTAACTTGGATTAGGGCATGGCTATTCCAAAGGAAACAGAGTTAGTATAAATGGGGTTAAGTCAGAGTGGGATAATGTTGTTAGTGGAGTACCTCAGGGCTCTGTCCTGGGACCTCTGTTGTTTATAATATATATATAAATGATTTAGATTCAGGTTTGAGTAGCAACATTTGCAAATTTGCCGATGATACGAAAATCGGTAGGAAAATTAATTCGGAGGAGGACTCGCTATCACTTCAAGTTGATCTAGATAGGGTTATGAAATGGTCACATGATTGGCAAATGCAGTTTAATGCTGATAAATGTAAAGTTCTGAGGCTAGGTAATGATGATAGAGTTACAAGATACGAGCTAGATGGTGTTGAGATTGCGAAGTCGGATTGCGAAAGGGATCTGGGAGTTATGATTAGTAAGAATTTAAAACAAAAGGATCAATGCATGAATGTTCGTAATAAGGCAAATCGGACACTTGGATTTATTAATCGCAGCGTTAGTAACAAGACACCTGGTGTGGTTCTCAAGCTATATCTTGCTCTAGTTAGGCCCCATTTAGATTATGCAGTTCAGTTTTGGTCGCCGTATTATAGAATGGATATAAATTCACTTGAACGTGTCCAACGTAGGATGACTAAGTTAATTCCCCAAATTAGAAATCTTTCATATGAAGAAAGATTAACAAAGCTTAAGTTGCATTCACTGGAAAGGCGAAGAGTTAGGGGTGACGTGATAGAGGTTTACAAGTGGATGAATGGACATAACAAAGGGGATATTAACAGGGTATTAAAAATATCAACACAAGACAGAACACGAAACAATGGGTATAAATTGGATAAGTTTAGATTTAGGAAAGATTTGGGTAAATACTATTTCAGTAACAGAGTTGTTGATTTGTGGAGCCAATTGCCGCGTAACGTGGTGGAGGTGGGGTCCCTCGATTGTTTCAAGCGTTGGTTGGACAAGTATATGAGTGGGATTGGGTGGTTATAGAATAGGAGCTGCCTCGTATTGGCCAATAGGCCTTCTGCAGTTACCTTTGTTCTTATGTTCTTATGCCCACCAGGTCAGACAGCTGTACATGTAGCACGTCCACCGGCACCGTAAACGCCAGACCAGCCGACAACGTTCTCTTCACTGGAGGGCGAGACGTCCCCATGGCTAAGTCGAACGTCACCCTGTCAGTGGCAAACCACCACCAGCAGGGCAAACCAGCAATCACCCCACGTAAACACTAGCCAGGAGCGGAGAGCCCTCAGGAACGTCCGACCTGGCCGGCGGTCACCACGCAACTCGGAGTTTTAATTGGAGTTTTTAGCATTATTCCTTTGTATTCGTTCTGTTCTTTTCGTTAGGCAGTCTTGGTTCATTTTCTTTTCTAATTACTTTATTTAGCTGCTCCACTTCTCTTCGTTTCTTTATTATTTCCGTTTGCTCGTTATTTTACTTTTTTTTTCCTTATGCCTTAATTCTGTTTGTACTGCTACTCATTTAGTCGTTTCTTTATTTTATCTTTCCGTTTATTCGCTATTTAATTTATTCGCTATTTAATTATGAAAAACATAAATTAATAATTGAGTCGCAACATGGTTTTATAAATGGCCGTTCATGTTTAACAAATTTGTTATCTTTTTATTCTAGCATTGTTGAGGCAGTTGATAGTGGTAAGGATTGCGATGTTGTATACCTTGACTTTAGCAAAGCTTTTGATACAGTGCCACATGAAAGACTGATTAAAAAAATAGAGTCTCATGGTATTGGGGGTGCTATATTAAGCTGGATTAGGGCATGGCTATACCAAAGGAAACAGAGAGTTAGTATAAATGGAATCAAGTCAGAGTGGGAAAATGTTGTAAGTGGAGTGCCTCAAGGCTCTGTCCTGGGACCTCTGTTGTTTATAATATATATAAATGATTTAGATTCAGGTTTGAGTAGCAACATTTGCAAATTTGCCGATGATACGAAAATCGGTAGGGAAATTAATTCGGAGGAGGACTCACTATCACTTCAAGTTGATCTAGATAGGGTTTTGAAATGGTCAAAGGATTGGCAGATGCAGTTTAATGCTGATAAATGTAAAGTTCTGAGGTTAGGTAATGATGATAGAGTTACAAGATACGAGCTAGATGGTGTTGTGATTGCGAAGTCGGATTGCGAAAGGGATCTGGGAGTTATGATTAGTAAGAATTTAAAACAAAAGGATCAATGCATAAATGTTCGTAATAAGGCAAATCGGACACTTGGATTTATTAATCGCAGCGTTAGTAACAAGACACCTGGTGTGGTTCTCAAGCTATATCTTGCTCTAGTTAGACCCCATTTAGATTATGCAGTTCAGTTTTGGTCGCCATATTATAGAATGGATATAAATTCACTTGAACGTGTCCAGCGTAGGATGACTAAGTTAATTCCCCAAATTAGAAATCTTTCATATGAAGAAAGATTAACAAAGCTTAAGTTGCATTCACTGGAAAGGCGAAGAGTTAGGGGTGACATGATAGAGGTTTACAAGTGGATGAATGGACATAACCGGGGGGATATTAATAGGGTATTAAAAGTATCAACACAGGACAGAACACGAAACAATGGATATAAATTGGATAAGTTTAGATTTAGGAAAGACTTGGGTAAATACTGGTTCAGTAACAGGGTTGTTGATTTGTGGAACCAATTGCCGCGTAACATTGTGGAGGTGGGGTCCCTCGATTGTTTCAAGCACGGGTTGGACAAGTATATGAGTGGGATTGGGTGGTTATAGAATAGGAGCTGCCTCGTATGGGCCAATAGGCCTTCTGCAGTTACCTTTGTTCTTATGTTCTTATGTTCTTCTTAATTTCTAATACTTATTGTCCTTATTCTGGGATCTGCTACCGTATATTCGTTTATTTTCTCCGTTATTCTTGTTATTTACTTCTAAGTTATTACTTTTGTCCTTATTCTGGTTATCCTGCTCCTCTTGTATTCGTTTAGTTATATATTTCCGTTTTATTCGTTATTTATTTTACCTTATTTATTTTACCTATGCCTTACTCTGTTTAATTGTCTGATCTCTTTTATTCGTTTTACTTCCCTGCTTTCGGGGTTATATATATATATATATATTTTTACGGATGTCCTTATTCTGTTATACTGCCTCCATTTTATTCGTTTTTTCTCCGTTTATTCATTTATATAAATATATATATATTTTTTTTTAGTTATTACTTATGTCCTTATTCTGGTTTACGGTTACAAATTCATTCGTTTGTTTACTTTATACGTTTATTCGTTATTTATTTACTTTATTTCAGTTTACTTTTGTCCTGCTCACATTTATTCGCTTATTACGTTCTGTTTCCCTTATTATGCCCTTAATTACGGGCTATTCATGCCCGTGCCACCTCTTGGGTGGCTAAATCTTTATCAATCAAAGTAATTAACTGTCGAAAGAGAGGTTATAAATCGAAACTGAAAACACAGATGAATCACAGAAACGTCAACACGAAATTTGATCAGTTTTTTTATTATTATTATTTTTCTACCACAGACGTGGCCACACATTTACAATACTAACCAGAATATATACATATTCTTCTGTATTTGATCAGTGTAAGTCGTAAAGAAATGGAACGGAATTGATTATAAATTAATAATATTGATAATTGATTTAGATTGATTATAAATTGCTAACCACCATATGGTGGATTGGATTCACTTGGTTCATCCGAGTCTCGAACCACACACAAATAAACAGCAGCCCGCAGCGATACCCACTGAGCCACCAGCACCCCATAATAAGGAATGCAATATCCAGTTTATTTTTTTCATATACATATTATGAGAAATATATCTCTCGGTATATCTCTCATTTACCGAGAGCCCTCTAGATAAATGGTGGCCGTCAGGTAAATTCAGGGTACCCAGCTTCACGGCGTACATGCACTCTAGATAATTTATTTTAATTCATAATACAGTAATATGTTCAAGGCCAATTTATATTGGGAGTTTATTTCTATCTGTTAATGATGCCATTAGTATTTTAATCCGTATTTAAATATACGAGTTTCACGCTCCATGAAGGGAGCGTGTAAACTCCCTGAAGACGATCGACTCCCTTCTCCTTACATGTGTGCTCCCTCCGCCATTGGCGCGTCTCCACGCTCCCT